TGCCACAGCCAGGCCTTCCTGGGACACCTCCAGGGCTGGGGACTCCAAACCTCCCTGGGCAGCCCCTGCTGATGTTCCAGAACCTTTTCCATGAAGAAACTATTCCTGAAATCTTCTTCAGCAGGGAAACACTGCCCCAAAAAATCTGTCTAGTCTTCCTGATCCAGTGCAGGGATTACTCCAGGGAGCAGTTTCAGAGTTGTTTTCCCACCTGGTCAATGTTTCCCAAGGACCAAACAGATTTTGGGGAATATTTCCCCCAGGCTGTGTGTTGTTTGGGGTTGTTGGTCAGTCTAAGCCCCTCTTTGAAGCGTTCACAGATGCATCATGTCCTGACAGGCTGAATATCACTTTGTTACAAGAAATAAAAGGAAAATCCATTGGCATCTGGCAGATTCCAGTGTTCCCTTCCTCATCCAGGGCACATCCAGGTACCCCCTGTTTCAAAGCCATCCTACCACTCCAGGAATTTAATGTGCCACTGGAACATATAAATTATTAACAGCTATTCAAGCTCAGGGCACGAGCTGACAAAACACAGTGAAAGGAAAGACCAGAAATGTTTTCAGCTCCAATCTTTTGCTGGGCAATGGATTAGGAATTCTCTTGGCTACAATCCTTTTAACAGGAAACCTCACTCACCTGAGAGCAGCTCCTGATTCTCTACATCCACACTGACCAGGACAAGAAATCCTGGGTTCAAACTGCTTGAAAGAGAGGGACAAATTCTCCTCTTGGTGACCCACTTGTTAGAATTTGGTTCAGTTTCACTACGAGTGGGCCATCATTTTTTAAAATTTAATTTTTATGTAATATTTTTGTATTAATTAAGCATCATTATCCACTTTATCTGCTGGCTGCACACCCCAGCAGTGAGTGCCTCAGCAGGGTGATGGAGAGAAAACACGGCACATTCATCCACCTGATAAATCGGGAGAAAAGGTGGTGAATTCGTTCAGAGGAGAGAAAATACAGACAATTATTTTCCATAAGGCAGCGTCTGGTACTGACAAACTCTGCCTGAGAGCGACAGAGCACAGGAATAAAGAGATTAAAGAGTTGGGAAGGGAAATTTTTGTTTTCACATCAACAAAGTGTTGCGTTTCGGCTTAAAAAATAAGCATACAATAAACATTTCAGCCTCAGGAGCTCTGAGGGTTGGCAAAGGACTGAGACCAAAGGCTACCTAAGAACGTGGGTGTTGTTTTTCTACCATCTCATATCCCTGGGATTAGAAACCTCTCTGCTGTTTGGAGTCTAATCACCCCTTCCTAGAATTCGATCGATTCGGATAACATTAATTATTTGTAGCATTATGAGCATTTCTTTTCAAAAAGAAGTTCTTTCACAAGCAAAACAAAGCCTAAGTGGAGTCATTCCAGCAGGGATAAATCCCCCAGGTGCAGCTTTATTTCCCAGCCTGGTGTCTGGTTGCAGAGGGTGTTTGAGGTGACCCCACTTTGAGTGGCAGCTGTCAAGGCTCTGTTTGTTTGCAATTCCCACGGGAATGTGGGTCCCACACTGGTGGCTGTGGGGGCACAGCACTGAATCCCGAGGAAAACTTTGGAGTTGGTTGAGTCTCCTGCCCCAAATTGCCTTAGGATATGGTGCCCTGTGCCCCAGACCCGCTGGAATGATGAGTCACACACGTTTATTTTTGCTTTCCAACAATTGCTCCTCGTCAGGGAAGTGTGTCCTGTGATTCTCCCAAATTGAAATCCCTGTGTGGTGTGTGCTTGCACCGAGCTCTTCTGCAGAAAGCAAGGCTTGGGCTGCCTTTTTGCTGCTTTTCTTTTTTACTCTTTTCTTAATTTATTCAGCTGAAAGCAGCCACGTGGTGATAATCAGGCAGTTTGCTGCTGACCTGATGGAGTTCAGCAGCTTCTGTCTAAAACAGAGAGGGGAAAGAATTTCCAGAGAAGCCTTTTATGATTCTTTTGCTGCAGAAGAATACCAGGAGGAGCCCTCAGCATGGACAGCAGTTTTCCAGCACTAACAAATTCCACAGTTAACAGGAAAACAATCCCTTCATCAGCCACCGCCGCTGCTTTCTCTGTGTGGAGCCCGGAGGTTTGCCCTGGTTTGGAACCAGAGGCCAGGAGCTTCACTGAGCTTCATTTCCCCAGCTTTTTCCAAGTTTTTATTGAAAACAAAGTCTCCCCTGTTTCTTCCTCCTGTTTCTGCAGCCAAAACCTACATGTGCAGGCAGAGGAGAAAGCAGGGGTTTTGTCTGAACACGCTCAGGCCTGGGGAGGGTTTTGTCTGGTACAAACCAAGGCCTTGATCCTGCACTGAGGTGTCCTGGGCAGATCCTTGGCTTGGC